TTAGGGGTTAGGGCTAGAGTTTAGGGTTTAGGGTTTCGGGTTTAAGTTTAGGGGTTAGGGGTTTAGGGTTTAGGGTTTAGGGCTTATGCTCCCCATCCCCTTGCAAATCGAATACACCCGGGGCTCGTTACGTTGCACCATGGGTTTAGGGGTTTAGGGTTGAACGGGATACCACTACCAATCATGGGCTGAGGAGTGGGGGCCGAATCTAGGGCTTGGGCCCCTATAAACCCTAAGCCCGGTTCGGCGATTCGGGCCTCCCGCCTTGGGTTTAGGCTTTAGGGGTTTAGGGTTTGGAGTACGTAGTCGCAGAACCAATGGCCCAGTACTCATAAGAGGCTATGTCTTCTGCTAAGTTGCTGGGTCCGACTTCAACTTTACGCCCTCCACCTCAGAACCCTAGAGACCCCAAACCACCAAAGCCTCAACTCTGAACTCAATTCTCTCCATCTCCTTAAGGACGAAACGGCCGCTAAAAGGGTTGAAGGTTCAGTTAGAAGACAGATTCAGAATAACGGATGCCTACTTTTGATGGCGATTTGGTACTTAATACCCTAAACTCCTGAGCCCGAACCACAAGCCAAGAATTCCCGAATCCTGCAATTGAGACCTGAATCTCTGCAAAAAGCGCACTCTATCTCGAGCTTGTTTAGGCTTCGGCGGTGGGGGGCTAGTTCAGAGGTCAGGGCTTAGGCTTCCATCCTAAACCCTACGCCCCCCAGACTGGAACTCCAAACCCTTCAACATCCCATAAATTAAACCCGAAACCCTAAATCCTGAAACCGCGAAACACCCTCAACCCTAAGCCCCCTTATGGATCCTCTTATAGAACCCGTAAAGATCCCGTAATCACCCTTAACCCTGAACTCTGAATCTTTATAACGCGAAACCTTTATCAACCCCATACCTGAGCCCTAAACCCTAAACCCTAAACCCTAAACCCTAAACCCTAAACCCTAAACCCTAAACCCTAAACCCTAAACCCTAAACCGTGAGCCCTTTATAGTTCAGGGCTTTTGGGCTCATGTCCGAGGTGTCGACAAATCTGCGAACTGCCAATGTTTCCCCAAACAGGGTTTAGGGTCTTGGTTTAGGGTTTAGGGTTTAGGGTTTAGGGTTTAGGGTTTAGGCAGGTTTTGTGCTATGGGGTTTAGGGCTTAGCATGCTTTAGGGTTTAGGGTTCTAATGCCCCGAGCCCCCAATTCTGAATCCCAAGCTGGCTTCAGCCACTTTAGGTCTTACAAGGTCTCGGAGAAGCCGGAGTGAACCCTAAACCCTAAACTGGCCCTGAAATACACCCTAAACCCCAAACCCCTAAACTCCTAAACCCCCAAGCCCTAAACCCCTAACCCCGAAACCCCCAAACCCCGAAACCCTAAACCCCTAGACCCTAAGCCGTAAACCCTCTTTTCCCACGGGATGCTCTGTACACTGGTAGCTTCGGCCGAGGGATGGGCTGGCACCGTCACGGAACTGCCAAGGTTTGGCTCAGGCTTGGGAGCAATGCGATGTGTGAGGCTTAGGGTTTAGGGCTTTAGGGTTAGTTTAGGGCTTGGGGCTATATGGTTAGCAGAGTCTTATGGTTGGTTTGTGGTTGTGAGTTTTATGGTTGGTTTACGGTTTAGAGTTTTATGGTTGGTTTATGGTTCAGGGTTGTACGGTTACTTTATGGTTTAGGGTTTGGGGTTTAGCTGTTGGGTTTGAGGGTTTAGGGTTTAGGGTTTAGTTTCGGCTTTACGGTTGGCTAACTTAGGGCTTTATGGGTGCAGGTGGCTCATCGTCGCAGGGTCCCCATCTGAAGAACTCCTAGATCGTGTACCGTTGTATGTTTACATCCTTTCCGGGGTCCATCTGGGCGCAGGAAGATTGATTTCCAGACTGATCTTAACTCGACAAAAGGCACTTCCAGCAGGGGCCTAGTACGACAAAGGAATGCACTCCCCCAACTGCAAAACCTAAACCCTAAGGCCCTAAACCCTCAATCCCCAATCTACTTTCCAGGGTCCCTTCAGCCCTTTGGGGTGCTGAACTGAACTTAGGCAGGAAAGTCGTCTTCCGTGCAAACCAAGGTTGCTCCTGATCCTACTTTTCTGATCCTACTGTACCTGGGAAGTTTTCTACAATAGGTTTTTTTTGCGGAGCGCAATTTTACCAGGGTGCGGTACGATATTGGGGACCTAAACAGGGACCCTAATTTAGAGAACTACTCATCTGTACCTAGGAAACGGAGCTTGGGATGCTGAAGTGAAGCCTTAAGCCCTAAACCCTAAAAGCTTTGGGGTTCGGCTCAATTCGGGCTAGGATAAGGGTTTAGGGTTTAGGGTTTGGGGTTTAGGGTTTAGGGTTTAGGGTTTAGGGTTTAGGGTTTAGGGTTTAAGCTTCTGAGAAACTCCCGACAAGAGTAAATCAAGAACTGTATCCGTCAACCAGATTGAGGACCCTCTATTACTCTATAGTTTCATAAGGCAGAATCTGAAAGATTGGGAGTTGTCTCAGTATTTCGGAAAGTGCAGGAACCGGGTAGGTGCAGAAGCGTTCACACACTGCACGGTGCTCGCACTCTTGCACACGGTACTGCAGGAATCAGCGCAACGTTAGGCCGAACCCGGGGCGGGAAATTTCAGGGATCCAATGACAGGCAAATCTTTCTCAGAAGGAGTTCTCGCTTAAAGCATACAGTGCATGCAAACGCTACTTCCGGCTACGTACTACGACTCCTGGCTGCCGACTCCAGATCACGAGCCCTAGACGCTACTGCTGCACCTTAGGGACCACACGAAACATTCTATGGTCCTGCACCCACACAGTCAAGTTGGGATATTATAACTATCAGGCACAGCAAACAAGCCTTGTTTGGACCATGGCGCTACTCTGAGTCTCTCATCTGACGAATTATAGATGGCTTGGGATAAAGTGACCCAGAGTTCCTCTGGTCCCTAAAGTTCACGACAGTGTAGCCAGGTCGATCCCGCCAGCAGACGCGCTCCCTGCAGCGGCCGATGTGGATTTGTGAGAGTGTGGTTTGAAGGGTTTGTTGTACATTTAGGTGCCTCCATGACGCGTCCTCACACTAACAGTCCTGCCACACGGTCAACATCGTAAGCCGTCCCTCATGATCTGAAACTCTCCTCTCAATCATGCATATAACTTTTTGTATATATATATATATACACACACAAATATACACACTCCAGCTTGACCGTTCGTAGTTCGTGGGTAGCAAGAAGTACGTAATATAGGGGCCGCAATAATTAGAATAAGGTTTCGGGGCCCACTAAACTATGATTATAATAAGGAACCCCCACAATACTATGGATAGTTGTTTAGGCCACTACATTCAGCCATGAACAAATGGAGCAGCTGCAAAGCCCGTAAAGGAGCTCTCGCAGGCCCTGCTCCCAAAATCCTAAACCGCAACCCCCAGACGCTAAACTCTAAGCTTTTAGGGTTTAGGGTTTAGGGTTTAGGTTTAGCGCCCTAAGCCCCATAATCCTAAACCCCAAAAAACACGCATCCTAAATCCCCCAAACTCAAAACTCCTGCAGAACCCTTTTAGAATCCCTCATAGAGCCCTGAGAAGGAACCCCCGACCCCAACCCTAAACCCTGAACCCTAAACACTGAACCTTCATGGAACGCTTAAAAGGAACCCACCCACCCTAAACCCTGAACCCTAAACACTAAACCCTCATGGAACCCTGAACAGGACCCCCCCCCCACCCTAAACCCTGAACCCTAAACCCTAAACCCTCCTAGATTGCCTAACCTGAACCCCCCCCCTAAACCCTGAACCCTATTCAAACCCTAAACCCTCATAGAACCCTTAAAACGAACCCCCCCACCCTAAACCCTGAACCCTAAACCCTCATAGAACCCGTAAAAGGAACCCCCCCACCCACCCTAAACCCTCATGGATCCCTTTCAAGGAGCCCCCCCCCCCTAAACCCTCATGGAACCCTTAAAAGGAACCCCTTATAAACCCTAAACCCTAAACCCTAAACCCTAAACCCTTATAAACCCTAAACCCTAAACCCTAAACCCTAAACCCTAAACTTATAAACCCTAAACCCCCTTATACCTCAAAGCCCTACCGAGCCCTCCAAAGTTTTTTTCGGCCTCCGGGGGCGATGCGCCGAGACAGGTCGCAGTTCTCCGAGGATCCTTGCAGTTAAACGCTTAGGGTTTAGGGTTTAGGGTTTAGGGTTTAGGGTTTAGGGTTTAGGGTTTAGGGTTTAGGAGTTAGGGTTTAGGTGTGGAGGACTTTCCCAGAGAGGCCAATACTACTTAATTAAGGAAGAAACCTTAAACTATAGGGGCCTTAATATTACAATTTAAGCTATATTCCCTTAGTTAAGGGGTATTGGGCTCTCTGGGTTCGGTGTGGGGTTCAGGGGTTTAGGGTCTACAGGGTTTAGGGCTTGGGATTTGGGTTTAGGGTCAGGGTTTGGGGTTCAAGGGTTTAGGGTCTAAAGGGGTTTAGGGTTTGGGAGTTAGGGTTTCGGATTTGGGTTTAGGGTCAGGGTCTAGGGTTCAGGGTTTAGGGTCTAGGGTTTGGGATCTAGGGTTGAGCTTTTGCTTGCATGAGGTGTGGGATTGCAGTTTTCGGAATCAGGGTCTGGGGGGGGCGAGGGTTAAGAAGGATCCCCTTCAAGGGGTACCTAGGAATCAGGAACCACCACTACCAACACCACGACCACGCAAACGACGAAACCCCAAACCCTAAACCCTAAACACCTTCAACCCCAGCCCCGAACCCTGAACCCTGAACCTTCAACCCCAACCCTAAACTCTCAAACCTAAAACCTAAACCCTAAAAATCCTAATAGAACCCAAATCCCAAGCTCCAAGCCCTAAGCCCCAACTCGCAAACCCTCTTTTTGGTACTTCTCTAAATTCGGGTCCCTTTTGGTGTCCTTTTTATAAGGGTGCCGCACCATATCGGGGACCTAAACAGGGACCCTAACTTAAAGAACTACCCATGTGGCAGAGTGGCTCGCCAATGCCATGGCACGCCGCCAGCGAGGCCAGAACTCCTAAAAGGAGGAGGGCCCCCACTGCCGGGGCCTTAATAGTTCGAATTGGGTTTGGGGCTCCTTTAAAGGGATCTATAAGGGCTACTATAAGGGTTTAGGACTTAGGGGCCTTGATAATGATTCGAACAGGGTTTTGGGGCCCAGTATACTCTAATTATAATAAGGAACCCCCCAAACTAGTATAGGCAAATACTTATGCCCTATATTACTTGACATAAGACAAAGGGGCCGGGGTTTAGGGCTAAGGGGTTTAGTGGGGGTTCAGGGTTTAGGGGTTTAGTAGGGGTTTAGGGTTTAATCGTAGGAAGGGTTTAGTAGGGGTTTGGGTTTAGGGGTTTAGTAGGGTTTAGTAGGGTTTAGGGGTTTAGGGGTTTAGGGTGTAACAGCATTTCAGTACGCAGGGTTTTGGAGCGTAGCATAGAAAGACCTGACAACAGGAAGACGTAAGATATGGCATGACTACTTGGAGGTTCTTGGGTAGTTATAAGTGGAGTTATAAGTCCCCAATATGGGTTATAATTATAGTTAGCTTACTCATAACTCCACTTATAACTACCCATGAACCTCCAAGTAATTATGCAGGTTTGTATAGTACAGTTGCTACAAAGGTATTGGGGTCAGGCTGTAGCCAATGCCTCAGGGTTTGAGAGGGCTGTAGGTTACGATGCAGGCCCAAAGGTCTTCTTGTGAGGGTATTTTTTTGAGGCGTTACTACGGCTGATGGACAAAATTCTGCATGACCCAAATATAGTAATATAGTATAGTACCATAACTCCCATAGTTTAGGTATATAAGGTCCCTAAACCGTAAACCTCAAACCCTAAACCCTAAACCCTAAATCCCAAACCATTCCATCAACAGTATGACCATGAGACCCTGCAGGCTGTGGTCTCGCAGCTGGCTGCGCCGGTTCCTGCACCGGCTCGGACCAAGCCCTGCTTGGAGGTTCATGGCTGGTTATAAGTAGGGTTATAAGTCCCCTAATATGGATTATAAGTATAGCTCGCTTACTTATAACTCCACTTATAACTACCCATGAACCTCCCAGTGGCCCCCAAACCCTCAAACCCTCATGAACCTTAGGAAACCCCTCCTAAACCCCTAAACCCTAAACCCTAAACCCCTAAACCCCCTAAACCCCCTAATCCCTAAACCCCTAAACCCTAAACCCCTTTTAGCCTAAGCCCTAAACCCCTAAACCCAAAGCCCTAAATCCACCCGAAAGAGCGAATCTCTGATCTCCTCGGCGTTGTCTAGCTCCACCCCACCGTAGCTTGCATCCTCAAGGGTTCAGGGTTTAGGGCTCAGGGTTTAGAGTTTATAGGGTATGGGGTTTAGAATGTAGGGTTTAGGGTTTAGGATTTAGGGTTTAGGGTTCAGGGTTTCGAGTTTAGGGTATGGGGTTCCAGAAGGCTTGTTGTAGGAAACAGGGTTTAGGAGTTCGGGATTGCAGTGCATACCGGTGTTTAGTTCGCTAAACTACTTTGGGGGCTCCTTATTATGATTATAGTATCATATTCCCCCCAAACCCTATTCGAATTATTAAGACCCCTATATTAGGTGTCTTGTCTCTTCGCACGGGCTTGAAGGCTTGGAGGTTTCGAGGGGAACTTAGCAGGGCTGAATCTGCTGCATGGGGGCGTGTGCTTTCACTGCGCCTTGACAATTAAGAACGGGGTCTTGGGAATATTGTGCTATGAACTGCTATAATCCCTAAACCCTAAACCCTAAACCCTAAACCTATGAACTGCTATAACATGCGGAAGACAGAAGCCTTGAGGGTTCGTGATCCTTGGCGGTAACGTAGGGGCGTTAATGATCAGAATATGGTTTTGGGGGTATGTTATACTAAACTTATGATAAGGAACCACCTCCCCCACAGCAGTATGGTAATTATTTCGGTTTCTGTATTAGACGCAGCAGTGTGTTTCTGTGCGAAGTGATCCTAGAGGCAAGGCCCCGCCGTGTTCGCTTAACAGTGGGGAAAGATGTGCGACTTGGCCTGGCTTTTGAATTCTGGGATGTGACTAGGCCTGGCTTTTGAATTCTGGGCTGTGTGAAGTGGTGCTTGCTATCGGTTGCGTTTGCTGCCGGTAGCGGTCTTTGCCCGTAGAGTCGTGCTGACAGAGACATGATTCAGCCATCATGACTGAGTTGTTCGATGTTATTCTAAAAAGCCCCCCCGAGCCACTGTGTACTTCACTTTGGAAAGAAGAAGTAGCCACGCTGAGTCATGTAATTGAGGATTCATGTAGATGGGGCTTTTGGTGTCGGACTTCGGACTTTAGGCCTGTAGGGTTTTATGCGTCTGCGAGTTTCTGGAGGAGCTTTCGGTGTAGGGCCGAGCGGCATACTCGGCCATGTAGGGGTTCTTGAAACCCCAGTACCAGAGTGTGAAGCCCGCTTGGGTCAACAAGTGGCCGAGCACCTCGCAGGAACTGCGGAGCTTTAGGGTTGAGGGCTTTGCCCTAAACCCTAAACCCCACAGACCCTAAAGCCTAGACCCTAAACCCTAAACCCTATAAACCCTAAAGCCTAGACCCTAAACCCTAAACCCCAGACCCTAAACCCGAAACCCTAAACCCCTAAACCCTCAAAAACTTTAGGGTTGAGGGCTTTAGGCGTCTACGGGTCATGAGTTTGAGGCTTTAGGGCTACAGGGCTTTAGGGTTTATGGGCTCTAGGGTTCTTAAGGGTGTTAGAGGTTTTGGGTTTTAGAGCTTTGGGGGCTAGTGTACGGGCTTTAGGATTTTAGGGCTTTACAGTCTTCGGGGTCATGGGTTGTTGGGCTTTAGAGTTTATTTAAGGCTTTGAATCCCGGTGTAAGGAGAGCAGAGCCAGGATCTATCTAATGTAGGGGCCTTAATGATTATAATAGGGTTTTGGTGATTTTTATGCTGCAAATTGCTATAATCATAATAAGAAGCCTCCACAATAATATTGGTAATTATGGAAGCTTTCTTTTTTTTTGGGGGGGGGACCAAGGCTGGGGGCCTAAGGAACCGACCGTTTTGGGGGTTCCTTGTCCTAAACCCTAAACCCTAAAGAACCGACCGTTTCGGGGGGTCCTGATTATGACTTCCTTCTACAAGCCCAAAAAGAGGGGTAGGTTCTTGAGGTTCTACTTGCGCCTGCCAATCTCTCAAACTGACAAGACAGAGTCCAAGGCTCGCTTGCGCAGCGTGCCAAGGCAGCCACGGGGATCACGCACTACCAGATCTCGTAGATGAGCGTTTGGTGGCACGCCCAGCAAAGGAGTCTGTAACTCCAAAACTTCATACAAAGGAACCGAAGCTCGCTGCACTTGCACAGGGCCAGAAGAAGATACTCTCCTCCGGTGTCGCAGTGGAATTTGCGCCCACTCGTGTGGAGGCCAACCATGATGCCGAGCTTTGGGCTGCTCTTGGTCTTGGTCTGAGACAACCAGCGTCACGTCCATCTCCTGCAAAGCTGGGATGAGGGCCTCGAGGCGGGGACGAGGAAACACAATGGCATTCTGGTAGACCAGCTCAAAGCTGGCTGCATCGCAGTCGACCCTTGGCACTTCATACAACAAAGGTCTCTCTTGCTGCAGACACAGAACCGCCAAAGTCGCTCCGCTGCGAGAGCACATTGACTGTGGCCAAGCTTGCACGGGACCCTCATGCCCTGGCCCCTAAAAGCAAACCACCGCAAAGCTTCAAACCCTAAACACCCCCCAAAATCCGAGGAGCCAAGTGAGGGCTGAATCCTGTCATCCCAAACTCTTATCTCGTGAAGTTTAGGGTTTAGGGTTAGGGTTCAAAGTTCAAGCCGATATAAATCCCTAAACCCTACATAAACCCCCCTAAATCGTTGATCTAAACGGCTACGTAGTCTTCGCAGCCTCTCAGTACCTGTGAAACCTGGCAGCTCGATCCAGCCCTGCAACGAAGCACAGTTTGAGATTCCCTGCTAGCAAGGGTAACCCGCCAAACCCCTCTCTAAGCCCTAATCACCTAGAGATCCGTTTAAGGCACCCGTAAAAAGGATCCGGCAGCTACTAAGTAGGGGGTATTTAGGCAGCTATGAGTAGGATTAAAGAAGTAGGTTCTGCAAACTATCATGGGGATTGTAGAGGGATACTAAGTAGACTGAGTAAACTACTAAGACATCAGATTGTTCAAACATGTTTCCGGAGGATGCCCTATCATTGTAGCAAACCCCAAAAAGTTGGAAACCGGATTAGGGACAAGTAGTGCTGGGATTCCCTACACATTACTCAGTCTTAAGGATTGAGGCTATTGGGTTTCCAACTTGTGGGCTCTACGATGCCTTGGTGAGGATTGAACCCGGCGAACGACCATCTCGGAGGATCGTCCTGGGATCTTGGATGCTGGTAGCAAGCCGGTTTAGGCTTTAGGGTGTGGAGTTGTGTTTGGGGTGTATGCCCAGAGACTCCAATATCCCTTAATTAAGGAATATACCTTAAAGCAAATTAAGGATCCTACTATAATTTAAGGAATATTCCTTAATTAAGGAATATTGGAGTCTCTGGGTGGTTGACATTTGGCAAGATACGATCGGGTTGGCGTGTGCGTTTGGGGTGTCACGGGGTTGGCTAGGGCTAAACTAAGCCTGCAGATAGAAACAGCATGAAGAAACACAGACTGTGAGTACACAACCGCTGACAACCTATTGAGCCCGGAAGGGCTTGATTGTGAATTCGCATGCGTCAGAAAGCCTGCCTCCTAAGTTCCAACGCTCTGAAACCGAAAATCATAAGCCCAAACATCGAAGGGAAAATCCAAGCGCCTGTGCTTTGGACTCCTCCCAAACCCCTATATTGTTGGATTGCCATTTCGGGGTTGAGTGTTTGTCATTGTCTGTTGCAGCCATTAAGGGGTTTAGTATTTGGGGGTTCGGGCTTGAAGCTAAAGTTAGCGTTGGGGCTTGCAGAAAGGATCAGCGACACAGCAAGGCATACTTGGGGGTTGCAAGTAGCCCAATCTGGACGACCTTGTTCATAACCAACCAGCCCTAAACCCTAAACCCTAAACCCTGAACCCTAAACCCTAAACCCTAAACCCTAAACCCTAAACCCTAACCAACCAACCCTAAACCCTGAACCCCTCCTACAGTCTGCGCACGAGGCCCCTCGGCATGCACAGTCTGGATCCTCTAAGGTCCGCTGGGAACGCAAAAACCTTCAATTTAGGGTTTAGGGTTTAGAGTTTAGGGTTTAGGGTTTCGGGTTTAGGGTTTAGGAACTACATACCGCAAGATGGGCCTAAGTATTACACATCTGCAACTAGTCAGCACCCTGCCGCCGCACAAATCCGCCTAACTGACTTGATATTGTGAAGCACTAACTAGCAAGAAGCCTTTACAAGCATATAGACCTAACGAACATCTTTACCCAAATTCCGATTGCATGTCCCAAAGGCACGGTGGTGTAGTCGTGGAAGATGTCGCCTTTGAAAGGCAGGGCAAAGACTTATGGTACACCCTAAACCCTAAACCCTAAACCGTATTACGGGCCCTGACTTTTCGGTCGGGCCCTGCCCGAACATGGAGCCTGCTAAAGGGCTCCGACGGTTGATGATCTAAATCCTGCAGTACCTTAAGGACCCTAAACTATGGGAATTATGGGATCTTCCTTATGATGGGTAATGCCGGATTTATATCATCAGCCGCAACAAGCTGCTCAGGGTTTAGGGGTGAATGGGTTCCATGAGCTTTCTTACCGTCAGCTCAGGGAGGGCACACCACTCTGAACTTGGCTATAAATCCCAGCAGAACTGGGATCCCTTTGTGAGCCAGGCCTTGACATGTTCTCGAAGATCTACTATGTAATATAAGGGCCGAAACAATTACCAACACTATTTTGGGGGGTCCCTTATTTGAAATAGAGCCTAACGGGCCCCAAAGCCCTATTCTAATTATTAAGGCCCCTTCATTATGGTTCTGCGCAAGGGTGCCTCAACAATCTGAAACCCTGAACCCAAAGCCCTAAACCCTGAAACCCTAAAGTAAGCCCCAAAACCTTGCGAACCCTGAGCCCTGGGCGAAACCCTCAAATCCTGCACCAAACGCGAACTGCTAAACGAAACCCTAAATGCTGAACTAAATTTAGGGTTTAGGGGTTTAGGGATTAGGGATTTAGGGTTTAGGGTTTAGGGTTTTAGGGATTAGGGTTGAGGGTTTAGACTAACTAAGCCCTAAACTAAACTAGCAAAGGTCTTGGGGCAGTCCAGGGTAATGGGGGTCGGGGCATTTGGGAGGGTGTTCCAAGTTTCCGAATCATTTTTTGGACCCAAGCCCCACACTCCACCTAGAAACGCTCTACCCTAAACCCCTAAACCCTAAACCCTAAACCCTAAACCCTAAACCCTAAACCCTAGAATCCTAAACCCTAAACCCTAAACCCTAAATCCTAAACCCCTGTTGCTGCCAGCCCACCGACACTGAGAGCCATGATCACTGCTGCAAGGTTTCCCGAACCTGGGCTTCTGGTGGGCTTTCTCAGGTCTCTGTTCCTGCTTTACCATACCATACGATACCATACGATACCATGCGATACGATACGACACGACACGATATGATACGGCACGGTATGATACGATGCGATATACTATACGATAGTATACTACACTATACAACACTACAGTTTCGCCAGGGTCTCAAACTAGAGTGTGGGAGTTTCTGGTCACGACCTCTTTGGTGGGGCTTCCGGGTCTGGTGCAGAGCTGAGGGCTCACAGTTCTCGGGTTAATGATTAGAACAAGGTTTCGGGGGGGTTCCGGGCTCCTTAAAGGGTTCTATACGGGTTAGTATGAGGGTTTAGGGTTTAGGAGCCATGATAATTAATTAGAATAGGGTGTTGGGGTAGATTATGCTATAGGTATGATAAGGAAGCCCCACAATAGTACAGGTAATTATTGAAGCCCCTATATTATGTTCCTCAGAATGCCCAGCCGTAAACCCGGTTTTAAACAAAATCGCTGTGATGAAAGATGCTAGACCTTGAGAACTCTAGACTCTCAACCCTGCACCGGCATCACTGTCGTTGTTGAAGCATCATGAGAATTCGTTTGTACGGTGATAAGTACCACAATCTGAGGAGTGGCAACTACATATGACTATGCTTGCCTTGCTTATGAACCTACACACCCCAAACCCTAAACCCCCTACTGTAAGTCCTCAACATCTAACTTCTATGGAGCCATAATATAACCCAGCACAGAATCCTTAAGGGAAGCCCTTAAAGGGATCCTATAAAGCCCCTACTTACCACGCCCCCTGCTCCTCCTATGATAGTCCCCTTAAGGTCGCTTCAAGCAGCCCCTAAAGTCTAAACCCCAGGCGAGCCATCACCTATTCCCCAACCCTAAACCCTAAACCCTAAAAACCGTAAACTCTAAACCCTAAACTCTAAACCCTAAACCCTAAACCCTAAACACCTGCACCCTAAAACCTACGAGGAACCAAGAAGGTGCAGTGACAGCACATCTTCCGAGCCCCCCGCTCTTCTCCCAGAGCTCCACGGAGTAGACCTCAAGGGTGTGGGGGCTTCGTGTTTGTCCCCTCAGTTTTGGGGGTTTAAGGTGTAGGGTTTAGGGTGTTGAGCGCTTGAGGCTTGAGGCTTCGAGGTTTAGGGTTTTTGGGGCTTTAGGGCTTTGGGGTTTTAGGGCTTTGGGTTTTTTGGGCTTTTAGAGTTTTAAGGTTTAAGGTTTAGGATTTTGGGGTTTTATGGTTTCGGGTTTAGGGCTAGTTCCGAGCCAGACGGCCCCGGCCAGGAGTTGAAGGCCCATGCCGTCTCAGATAGCATCACCTGACTAGTGACTAGCGATTGCGCGGTACCGTCCCCGTAAAGGAACCCCTATAATATAGGGAAAAATGAAAAGGACTTTAAACCCTAAACCCTAAAACCTAAACCATAGAACCCCTGAAGGAACCCCTAGAGGTCCCCGCATCAAACCCGAATATAGTGCAGCAATATCGCCAATGTACCAACCCTCCGTTAGGAGAACCTAGAACACCTGTGAAGGGGTTTAGGGTTTAGGCTGTAGGCTGTTGGGTTTGGGGTTTCGGCACTCCAGTCGCCCTCCGTGCTGGGGAATTGGTGGCCAGGCCTGCCTTGACGGGGATCGGCCACAAGCTCTGATTTCGTGTCGGTCTCTTCTCCCATGACTGCTTGCAAACCATCGCTATCCCCGTCTGAGGTCTCTGAATGCGAGACGCAAATGGATGCTGCAGAGTCTGCGTCCGAATCGCCTGGGTTTGGTGGCCTTCCTGCACCGACTCTGTGGCCCCCTGGTCCTGGATTGCATGGACCAGGAAGGCCACCTGCAAGGGTTCGTTCTGCATAACTTCCGAATAACTCGAAATCCCAGACTGTCTAAACATGAACATGGAACAATGCATCAGTTGCTATGGTCTTGTCACAAGAATTTCTGGCCTGGATTACTGTGTGCTGGGCTGTGCTCCACAAAGCCGTTGCCCCTGACGTAACATCCGGAAGCACAGAGCGCGCCTTCACAACATGGAAAGCGCTTCCGGTTCAGCTCAATTTCACCTCTCTTGCCCATCGCTTTGCTCCACCAACTCGAAACGCAACTAGCTTGAGAAACCAATGCTCCGGCCGATGAAAATTGCAAGCCTGGACCGCGATACGCACTCACAATGACATCATGTTTGTGACACGCATCCAGGTGACATGATGCAAACAAAGCTTCAAGCAGAATCTTGTGTGCTCCGGGAGCAAATCCTCTGCATGATGCTAATACTAGTAGCCACTTCCGTGTTGGCATCGGCTTCCCCTGAAACGTTGTGCTACACTCTAATGGGGTTCGTAACTGTACAAAGGTAAAAAGAAGCGGCAAGCCGCATTCCAGCGAGGAGCTTGCGACCGGAGCTCCCTTGCACTTTCCCCAGGATGCGGCTCTGCTGTGGTGCAACGCATACTTGAAAAGAGGCACCGGGAGCTCTGGCAAAAAATGGAAGCAGAGTCGATAGAGCTCGTTGTTGCCTGCAGGCTCGACAGCTTGGCGGCAAGCACAGATGTATTGCCATGAAGCTTCAACCTGCAAGATGATAACTAGCGCCCTTCTGCTTTACATTGGCCCACATACAGGTACACCTTTGCCGTACCGTCGTACCTTGACGACCTCATTAACTTCCGGAATGGCCCATAACTCGGCCATATATGAGCAGCTTCCAACTGTCCTGGTGGCATCTTAGCCAGCATGCTTCAAACCTGCGTAGGGTTTTGGGGCCTTCTGGTGGGTATATTAAAAAGTAAGGAACTCCCGAAATAGTATAGGTAATGATTAAGGCCCCCTATCTTAAGTGTGAGAGCCAACAACGCGAAACCCCAAAACCATACAACCGGCCCTGACCCCAATCAACCTCTAATTGACCCTGACTCGAAACAGGGGTTGAGGGTTTAGGTTTTTATTTAGCTACTTTTTCCGACCGGGTTTAGGGTTTAGGGTCTAAGGTTTTAACACTAAAGCCCCAAAACCCTGAAGCCTAATCTGAGTTGCTGCCTCGGGGCTTTCACTTGCGAGTCCTGGAGTAAACTGCTGCAGGGTCCAGCACGTACATGACCCGTAGGTGAAAAGCTTTTTGAGGCGTGGTGGATTTAGAGCCCATGGTTCGGTTGTTAACAGTAGCAAAGCACCCCTTTGTGTGGATTTTGATGATAGGGACCCAAATATTAAGTCCCCTTAAGTAACCACCTCAAAAAACTCCCTCGTGTTGAAGACCCTCAGCTTTTTCAAAACATGTGAGATTCAAAAGAAGGGAATCCTTACTTAATTAAAGGAAACTACAGGTGGGGAGTTTAGGGTATATATGGCTTCTATAAGGCTTCCATAAGGTAGATAGACCTTCTACAAGGCTCCTAAAACGGTAACTACCCACCTGAAAACGTCCTAGACTTAAAAGAGACCTCAGACAATCCCTTACTCTATGAGGACCCAGGCCCTGAACGCAGAGTCCAGACCAAACCTTGAGAGACCGATCTCAGGGTCTAAGTACCTCATAGTCATATACTATCTCAAACAGCCACCTACATAACGACTATCACTATCCGAAACCCGAGTACATAATTACTGGGTCCTTTGGACCAATTAAAAAAGGTAAGCTTCGGGTTTTGGGCTGCCTGACCACTTTCGACTGGCCACAAGATGCAGGCGATTGCCTGAAGCAGGGTGTTTGGTTTCCAGTGTCCCAGAAGGAAGCCCAAATATACACTCGCCTAAATCTCAAGGGGCCCTCACTCCACCAATGCTCTCCGAAGCCCTTGATAAAGACATCCAGCCGACGCGTCCTCACGGCGGCACTTGTCCAAAGTTTGGATGAGCCCCGGTGTGATCCAGGTGCCTGGGCTTCCAATTTACAAGGGTTCCACAAAGGTCTGGTTCACCCTAGTAGTAGTAGTAGTAGTAGTAGTAGTAGTAGTAGTAGCAGTAGCAGTAGCAGTAGCAGTAGCAGTAGCATTAGTAGTAGCAG